TCTCCAAGTGTTGGGCTTACAGGCATGTGCTAACGTGCTTGGCTTTACCATGTTCTGCTTAATTTACAGAATTTTAGAACAAAAACTGACCACTGATTCTGTGCTGCATACCAGTTAGAGAAAAAATTCTTATCTGGCTTGAGGTGTGGAACTTGGTTCTAATTTCACATTACCAAACAGTTAAAGCCCAATCTTTACATGTTAACCAATTCCTGGGTAAAGTCTTTTGACAAGGAATTCATAATATAAAAATTAGGGGAAGGGCTCCAGAGATGGCTCAGCAGTTAAGGGCACTTTCTGTACACCTATCACATAAGTAAATAAGTAAATAAATGTAATGAAAGAGAAAATCCTAAACCAAGCTATTGATAAATTGCCACTTAAAAACATAAAAAATCGGGTCCCTGGAGAGATGGGTCAGTGGGCAAAGGCACTTGCCGTGAAGCTTTACAACCTGAGTTCAATCCCTGTGAACCGCATGGTAGGATAGAAGCAATTTCTGCACGTTGTCCTCTGACCTCCACACGTGTCAAGGCATGTGTATGTCTGAACAAACTCAAATAAACAAATGTAATGATTTTTTCAATATAAAAATCCTATCTAAGACCCAGAAATCACTTGTTCTTTGATCATTAGGACCACTTTTGTCATGTACAAAACAGAATTCTGTGGATTTTGCTATAGCTGGATGTGGCCCTAGCGTGTACCAAGCCCTGGGTTCAAATCTGAGTCATGGAAACAAAGTTCCCTTCCTTTCAGACTTCCCAGCAAGTTGGCTGCTTAAGAGAAAGATTTCATGATTCTAATCTAACCACCTCCCAGGCACAAGGGCTATGTTTCTTCTCTCTCAGGTAGGCAGTGATCCAAAAACAGGAATTCTTATACTCATCCATCCACCCCCATCCTACCATCCATCCATCCAACCACCGATCCTCCCATCCTACTATCCATTCATCCAACCAACCACCACCCATCCACCTATACAACCATCCATCCAACCAACCATCCATTCATCCAACCAACCAAACATCTCTCCATAAATCTGTCAGTCTACCCATTCATCCATCTATCTATCCATCCATCCATCCACCCAATCACCCATCCAGTCATCCATTTATCCATCAATGCATGCATGCATCTATCCCTCACCCACCCATCCACCTGCCCATCCAACATCTACTCATCCACCCATCCATCCACCCATCTACCCACCCATCCATCCATTCATCTCCTCACTCACCTACCCATCCATCCACCCATCCAACATCTACTTATCCACCCATCCATCTACCCATCTACCCACTCACCCACCCATCCATCCACCCATCTACCCACCCATCATCTATGCATGCATGCATGCATCCTTCCCTCTACCCACTCACCCCATCCATCCATCCATCCATCCATCCATCCATCCATCCAACCATTCATCCAGTATCTGTATCCAACCAGGTGCCGGGCATACTCTAGGCTCTGGAGGTCCAGAAGTCAAAATCTAAACAAGGTCCCATTGCGGTGGTTAAGTGTTGTCAAGGTGAAAGAATCCAGAGTCATCTGAGAGATGAACCTCCAGGGGACTATTGTGAGCAGGAAGACCCACTCCCTGTGGATGGTGCCACTTCCTCCCCGGCATCCTGGACTATATAGTGAAGAACGGGAGCTGAGCACTACCACACCTTCATCTACAGCTCTCTGCTTCTCTGAGGATGCAGTGTGACCAGCTGCCTCACGTTCCTGCCACTGTGACGTCCCCTGCAGTGATGGCCCATACCTGGAACTATGAACGGAAAGAAAACCTTCCCCCTTAGGTTGTTTTTGTCAGAGTATTTTATCATCACAGCAACAGGAAAAGTAATTAAGACAGGTCTTTCATTCTACATGTTTAATTATAGACAAGAATTACACAGGGAAAAAATCTGTAATAAGTTAGATCACAGGGGATCAGGAAGACTATTTTTAAAATAAATTAATCTAAGTGAAACAGAATGGAGGGAATAAGCCATGTGCTAAGAATGAGGCAAGCTACTCGTGGCATGTGCCTGTTATCCCATCACTAGTTAGGCGGATTGCCACAAGAGGCCAACCTGGGCTACATAGTGAGTTCAATGGTAGCCTGGACTACAGAGTAGGACTCTAAATTAAAAAACAACCAAAATGCAGGGATGTAGCTCAGCAGCACAGCACTTGTCAAGCATGCGTGAGGCCTTGGGTTCAGTCCAGGCAGAAGAAACAGGATTGCTGGATTGTTCACTGAAAAAAGTTGTATTTCCAGCCAGTGAGATGGCTCATTGGGTAAAAGCACTGTCACCAAGCTTGACCTCTAAGTTTGATCCCCAGGACCCTCATGATAGGAGGAGAAAAGGACTCCTTCTGCAAGCTGTGCTGTGACCTCCACAGGCATGCCCAACTGACATATGTGCAGACACACAGACACACACACACACACACAGACACACACACAAATAAATAGAAATGCAATAATTTTTTTATTTATTTTTGTTTTATGTATATGACTGTTATACCTGCATGTATGTAAGTATACCCGTATCATGCAGTGCCCTCAAAGGTCAGAAGAGGGCACTGTATCACCAGGAACTGGAGTTACAGTTTTTTGCCTCCATGTGGGTGATGGGATTTGAACCTGGGTCTTCTGCAAGAGCAGGCAGTGCTCTCAGCCACTGAGCCATCCCTCCAGTCCCCGTAATAAATATAAAGTAGGCTTTCCTAGTTTGCTTTCATGTTACCATGATACAGCACTGACCAAAGCAACCTAGAGGTAAGGGTTTGTTTGGCTTATACCTCCAGGTCACAATCTGTCACTGAGAAGTCAGAGCCAGAACCCAAGCAGGGATCATGAAGGAACGTGACTTACTGACTTGGTCTCAGGCTCCCATTCAGCTAGCTTTCTTTCTTTTTTTGGTCTTTTTGAGACAGGGTCTCCCTGTAGCCCCAGCTGGTCTGGAACTCACAGAGATTAGTCTACCCTTGCCTCCGGAGTACTGGGACTAAAGGCGTGTGCCACCACACCTGGCTCAGCTAGCTTTGTTTTACAGCCCAGGCCCACCTGCGTAGGGATGACCCTGCCTCTCAATCAGCAATTAAGAAAATGCCCCACAGACCTGGCCATGGCCAAGGCCAGTCCGCTGGAGGCGATTCTTCAGCTGAGGGTCCCTCTTCTCAAATATATCAAGTTGAAAACTAGGATCTGCCTTCACACAGGCTTTCTCAAAGTAAAGCTCATAAATAAGGAAGCCACTGAGGTAGAACACTGTATCGAGAGAGGAAATGTATGATAGAGTAGGAGACAGAACAGAATGTTTATATAAGAAGGTAGTTAGAAACAGGCAAATCGAAGATATTCGGGAGAGGGGATGATAGTAAGGGAAACATCGATCAGAACACCTCTTTAGGGGTCATCAGAGTCCTAGACTACAAAACAGACTGCCAACCTGTCTTCTTGTGAGACAAGGTCTTGCTATGTAGCCCAGACTGGATTCCAACTCACTATTCCCCTGCCCTAGCCACTGGAGTGTTGGGATTCCAGGGGAACCCCACTACACGTTGGACCCTGTCTGGACCCTTCCAAAGTGGTTACAGCTAGGTTTCTAGAAAGCCCATGCTACAATGGAGTTATTAGTGGGAAAGGCCAGTTAAGTCATCACTACCTATTTAAAGCCAACAGAGTAACTGTTCTAGCAAAGGGGATGTTGATCCAGAGATGCTGGTGAGAGACCAGCTGACATTTTGGTGCACACAGAAGCACAGGTGAATGGTGTCATCGATGGTACCCATCACACAGGCGAAACCTGCACAGGCTCTGACAAGTCTTGAAAATGTTATGCATATGTGGATGAGTAGCTGAGATTCAAGCCCTGGGACTAAGTGAACGTGGCCCAGAGAAAAGAGAGCATGTGTTCCGAATAAATGACTGAGGGACCCTGCCCTGAACTCCACTTGAGATATTCAGCAGCTACATGACCGTCCACAACACACCTCCCATCTCACAGGCCTGAGAGGTTGATAAATAATGTATCCTTTTCCAAGTTGAGATATGATGGAATAACACAGCATTGCATGTGGCCCAGAGGTTTGGTCAATATTTCGTAAATCAATGCAGATTAAACTAGCCAGCGAGGTAAAGAAACTAAAGGCAGCCACCCCTCAGTTATTTATGAGAGAAATCAGGGTAGTCACACACCTCTGGCAGTATTTGGCAAGGGCAGGGAAATATCCAACACTTAGTCCCAATTCTTAATTTTGAAAGTGCTCAGGAGTCTATTTTTAAAGTATAAAAAAGTGTGCTCATATTTCTAATCATCAATGCTTTCAAAGGCCAACAACTCAAAATCCCTTCCTGTCTAACGTCACTCAGTTAAGGGAACCACACATCAGCTTCCTGGCCTCACAACTTGTAGACACAGAGGGCGAGCAATATTCATTAAAATGATATTTTTAAAACTTCTATTTCGGTTTCAAATTCATCTACAAATCCACATGCAAAAATGAAAGATCCTTAGAAGCTCTATATGCAAATACTGAAATATGCAGTAAACTTCCAGAACCTGGGAGGAACTCCGGGCGAGGCCAAGCACACAGCTGTGCGCGCGGTCCATGCCCTAGAAGCGCCTGCATGTGCCAGCGTCTAGATGCACTAAACACGATCACCGCCTCCATTTGTACTAAGCACGGGGCTAATAATTAAATCTCAAACGTCTTAAACGTCCTGGTCGGGTGCTGGTCCACACCAGGCTATACTGTCATCCTTTAACGAAAGAGAAAGGGGTGTGGGAAGAGGGGAGAGGCGCGGGGAGACGCCAGAATCACAATGCAGGGCTGCAAACTGGCTCTGAACTTTGGAAAGCATCTTCCCTGGCCATCTACGTACGGTGTTCGGAAGCAGAAAGGTGGAGAGGAGGGAAACACACCGTCTCCAGTTGCCAACTTACAAATACCCAAAACCCGTTACCCCACCCCAAGGAAAAACAAAGCGGGGATCTCACCATCCAGAAATGAACCCGGCTCAGGCTGGGCGGGCGAACATCCAGGGCTTCCCGCGCCCTGCAGCCCTGGGTCCCCGTCCGACGAGCTGCCTCCTACCTGAAAGGTGGAGAGGAGGGAAACACACCGTCTCCAGTTGCCAACTTACAAATACCCAAAACCCGTTACCCCACCCCAAGGAAAAACAAAGCGGGGATCTCACCATCCAGAAATGAACCCGGCTCAGGCTGGGCGGGCGAACATCCAGGGCTTCCCGCGCCCTGCAGCCCTGGGTCCCCGTCCGACGAGCTGCCTCCTACCTGAGCCCGCGGTAGCCGAGGTGCTCA